ATTTCCTGTACGGTTTGTTGTTCTTTTAGATGACCTTGGCATTGTATGAAAAGGTCGAGATCATTCGCGATTCATCGTTTTCTGTTACATACCAAAAGTTTATTGTCTCAATTTTTTTGACTAATTTGCTATTTTTTTGTTTCTGTGTTGTATTGATTAAAATAAATAGATAAACATAAAGAAATATAATAAACATCAGTATGATAGATTCATAGCTGAAAACTATCTTTCAAACAGCTAAGTCATAGATGTTAAAATTAGCAGAGTAGACCTTAAACGTGCGCAAATAAAATATGCTTGTTCAGTTTTAAACTGCTCAATTACATCTGATAGATACCTAACAAGAACGAATGCATCCTGCTCATCCAAAGTAGTAGCTTGTAATCGTATAAAATTTTGAAATTAATCAGATCAGTTATTTGTGTCTCACAATCCTCCGTGGTTTCATCCTTACGGTTTTTAAGTAATCAGTCAGAATAAATCATTTTCATATTAACTAGAACACATATAGCACAAGAGCATACACGCATCTAAATCAAAAGTGTACGTAATATATACATTCTACTGCGAGACTGTTTGGCCTTTCATATGTAAGAAAATTTTTCTTGTTTTAGATCCAATTGCGTCATGAATTTTTTCTGAATAGACTTCTGTAACTAAAACTGTCGAAATACATCCATCTTACACATTTAAAACACATGGTAGAATATTAATATCATTCAAATATTACATAACTTATAGCAGAAAGCTCATATTTTCTAGTAATTCGTTGTTTTTATTCAGATATAGACTTTGATTTTGGAGTCAGTGAATGCTTTCGTTTTTATTAGATAATACATTAGACTGATGTACCCACATCATATATCGTTGTTCACCAGCTTTGGACGAAAAGATATATGGTAATTACCACATATCATCCGATCGTTTAGAATACGTTTCATTGCTTCATCACATTGCTGATACATTACACTAGATTTTCTCCAGCTGACAACTGAATGATCTTCATTTAAATATAACGAATTCTCAAGTGCATACCAGTGGTTATTTTCACTATGACGTTTAGCAAATATTTTTCCGTTTGTGTCAGATAGTAAATATAAGACGATATAAGTATAAGCATTTATCTAAAATCGATTCTCTGGATATTCAATCATTTCCTCTAAGATCACTGTCAGTAATTCGACACTAAATGACGGAATTTTATAAGTGAGTGGGTTATTTTTATTTTTATATCATTGCATACATTTGATTTAACCTTTAATCTTGAACCAGAACGAAATCAGGAATCTAAAATCCGATTATATCATTCTGAAACTTGAAACAAATACAAAATCAAACATTGCACGATGCCAGGATCGAACACATGAACTTAAAAATATATGACTAATGAACTGTTACTTTTCAGTGAAGAACTGAACATCAATAGCTAACTCCTAAGTGTACTGTGAAAAAGGGAAAGGAAGAATATGTTCAAATATTTCAATTATTTGTGGAATGTCTACCACAGTTCTATGTTCTTGACATTCACAGGTCATGAAAAAATTTTCTGATACTTGCCGTCATAAAAAAATTCACCAAAAAAATACGCTTATGCATATAAACCCAATGTCCCCGTATTTTCTAGAAGAAGAGATATTTCTCTCTTTTTCTCTTTCTCTCTCTAATAGTGAACTGGAAAGAAAAATCATTGGCTTGAGACCACGAATACATCAAGTACTAAGTACTCGTCAAAATCAGCTTTTCGATCATAAGCCTGATACATAAAAGATAACTGTGATCCCAACTATCGAACCAAAGAGATTTCGAGGAAAACTAATAACAAGTCTTCAGTTTTGACAAGCTTTCCTACACAAACTTTTTTTGATAAAACTGATAAGATGTTTATCGGCATCTTATCAATTTCTTATATAAGATTGTTTAAGTTTTCCCATTGGTAGTCGTAAGTGTCTTACAAGAATCTTATAAGATTTTCATAAGAGGTTCGTAAGAAATTCATAAGCAGTACCAAAAATTCATATGTTATTCTTATTTACTAAAAGGCAGCTTATGAGTTGGTTTTGGTGACTTCTGTTACGATTGGCTGGAAAACTTCATCAGAATTTTTGGTACTTCTTACAAATTTCTTATGAACTTCTTATGAAAATCTTATAAGATTCTTGTAAGACACTTACGACTACCAGTGGGAAATCTTAAACAATCTTATATAAGAAACTGATCAAATTCCTATAAGAATCGTAAGACACTGGTAAGAGACTTAGACGTTTCTGATAAGATTCTTATATAAGAATCGATGATTGGGTTTTCAGTGAAAAGTTTTATTGAATATCGAAATACGACTGCGGTTACTATGCATTTTTCAAGGGCTCTTTTCTGACTATCGATTTCATCATGGAACGTTTTTCACAGAATAGAACATATCACGCGACCGAGAATCAAGGTTAAAAACAAGAAATAGAATAGTTTCTTTTTATTTTAATATAGCTGAATGCATTTAACGATACATGACTGATGAATTATTAATTTTCAGTGAAGAACGGAACGTCGTAGATACACCAAGAAGCTCTCTACAAAATGCAATGTTTTTCGAGTCGAGACCATTCTTAATAATTGCTTTTCTTAAGACTTTTTAGAATGCTTCAGAAATCAGTCATTAGTCACTTTTTGACGGTCGACTTTATCGTGGAACGGTTTTCACATATACCTTTTTCGCAAAATAGAACATATCATGCGATCGGGAATCAAGATTAAAAATAAGAACTAAAATGTTTTTTATAATCTTTTGCTCTGTCTATTGAAAATAATTATCTCAAAGTAAAAAATCACTTGTTTTTAAAACTCATAGTCACGAGAGTTCAGAAGAAGTTATTATGGAAAACATGTGATGATCAAGATTGGAGTATTCATAAGAATAAATCTGCTGGAGAATGTACGTACGGAGAAGGTAAGAAGAGTTTTGCACAGCTAACCAAGACGCATTCATATCTCTCTAGTTTTTAATGGTACCCTCCCCTCTCCTTTTTCACCTTGTTGCCAAATTCGAAGCACACGTTCGATTAGGCTCGAATTTGTACCAGTGATAGAACATCGAAAAAGAAAATCGATATATTTCTACCCAGACTTTTCTGAAATATTCTTCTAGGGGTTTTCTGGATAACTCCAATTCTCATACAGTCACATTACGATCCCTCGAAAAAATGGTCCGAGCGAGCTCAAATTTATATCAAATTTGTGCTCAAATTAGACCTTATCTCAGGAGAAAAAATTTTCTTTTCAAAAAATATGCTTTCCTTCTCAAGATATTAGAAAAATACTAAAACTCCTGCATAAAAAACATTTTTTGATTTTGAAAACTTTCTCATACCGAAAGTTGAAATCGAAAACGCTAAAAATACATTTTACTCCCGAGATAGGGTCTGAAGTATCTCTGGTAAAAATTTAAGCTCGATCGGACCATTTTTGGAGGAGTCGTAATGTGACTGGATTGAAGGGATTAACGAAAAAACGCATAATGAAGAAAACACGTATTGTACACAGGCTCCGTTTTTTAAGGGCCTTTGCAGTGATGCTTATATCTCCATGAAAACTCATCGGAAAATTCTGTAAGACGTCTCATTTAGAAGAACACACTTTCTTCTATCAGACTATCTATAAGATAAGATTTGATACTATAAGAAAGGAGGGAAAGGTTTAAGAAACTAAAAAGTTGAGATTTTCTAGGCTTTGAGGAAAAACTTTGTAAGTTTTTTAAGGAAGATCATGAAGAGCTGAGAGTGGTCTCATTCGGTAGCCCAGACTTTTCTCTACATCAGGCTATGTTCAGCTCAAAATGGAAAGCTTTTTACTAAAAAGAGGGGAGGGTACCCTTAATCCAGTATTTTTCCCTCAAGTTTTCAGTATATCCAGTAGGTTGAATGTGTTTTGGAGGCGTGAGACCATTTTATTTTGAAACAAAAACAACTATGTGTACACTAATGACACAACTTCACGACTGTCCTCTTCTTTTATCCAAATTCAACTCCACTCGTCTTTTCCTTCTCTATCAACAGCAAGAGAGAGAGACATATGTTCATAGAAAACAAAGAGAGAGTGATGTGTATAAGATGACTAGTGAGAGATAGAGGGATAGAAAAAGTAATAGATGTATACCATGCATTGAAGAAGAGCAGAGTAAAGAGAAAAGAATGAAAGGACAATGAGAAGAATGGCACTATTCTTAACAAAGAAATAAATAAATTGATTACAATAGCATCAAACAACAGACATGACTGACAGTAATTCTTTTCCAATAACGCATTCTGGTAAGTTTTCTAAGTGGAGCTTCAAAATTGCAACGATCTATACCGCTGGCTTTCCAAATTAATAAGAACACTTTTCCTTCTGGAAAGCTTTGTATGGCCGGTTTCGTCAAAAACTTCAATGGTTTTCACTCAATTTTCGTTTATTCCATTTAGATCAATTAGTATTGTGTATCCACGATTTGATCTCGACGATGAGTGTCATTTATTCAAAAGATCTTCAAGATCAGTGCAATCAAACTCTGGTAAAAAGGATCACGCTTTGTCTCAAATACAAAAAGTAGGAATCATCACTATCATCGATAAAAATTCCAATGCAGCATGCTGGACAGTTTTTTGTCTATCTGCTGAATTAGTGGGTCCAGAAAGATATCAAATCATAAACGACAGAGCGTCTTGAAACCAGGTGAGTCTCATAGTATTTTCTTCTCCTCTCTCATCGAACTTTTACCGAAGCGTCAAGCAGAATACGGTGCTTGGAATGCAAACTTGCAGTACACATGTTTTTCCAACTTTTTATACAACGTTAGACAGAGCTCATCGAGTTGATTAATGAAATGGATATTTCAAAAATGTTTCAAAAATTTTTTTCTATGTCAAAAAATTGAAAGTAGTTCAAGGATGTAAAAACTCGAAAAATCCTTCAAGTTCAAAACGTTTTACATCCTTCAAGTATTATCAATTTTTCCAGCTAGGCTCAAAACTATGTGTCAAGCCCGAAATCAGGTGAGACGGAACCTCAATTGGCGGAAATCAGGTGAGGCACGAGCCTCAGTAGATCTGCCGCCTATGTATCAAATTATTCGAAAAAGTTTTCGGTTCGGTTCGGTTTAAAAGTTTCTCCCACAAGAAACTCGACTTTTTTCCGGCGTAAATCGACGTCACTTGAAGAGAACGTGATAATTTTTCCTGCAGAGATCAGATGTTTCTTCACAAGAACTTCACCTTTTTTCCTGGAAAACTCGGTGTTTCCTCAAAGGAACATCATGTTTTCACGACAAGAAATAAAGGATTCTTCACAGTTGATGTCATCAAGTTCAAATGCAACCAAATCGTATTTTTATGATAGTTGCACTGCCTTTGAGCTGGAATTTATCGCTAATACCTTTATCGTATTTGTCGATTTTACTGCATGCAATCAACTGTCGGTCACCATTCGAATCGAATTTTTGTGTTAGCCTGATTGTTGTTTTTTTTCTATTCAGAGAATATCTAGAGTACGGAATCAAAACTTAGAACTGTAGAAAGCAACTGCCCAAAGCTTGTTCAAAAGAAGAACTCATATTCTATTTAGGGTCAATTAACAAATGATAAAGTAAAACCAAATGTAAGCTGATATATGAAAACTGGTTATGAAACGACATCAACGAACTTGATGTATGGACCTCAAGGAATCAATCGTCTCTGAATTTCGCACCCTGGATTCTGATCTTTTGAAGAAGGTCTCCGAATCTGTACACTAAAGACTCCAACGGCGTATTGATGCGAGCGGACATCAATTTGAGCATCTCAAATGACTTGTCCTCTTCGTGAGGCTGAGGGGTAGTATTATGGAAAAGTTGCAGCGACGATCGCTTTCGACCTTTCTCAAGGGTCTCAACAGGTAGTTCTAGCTAATCTATCTTCTAGCCGAACTTAAGAGCGGATCCGACAGAATACCGACTCTTTCGCTCATTCTTTGATCTTTCTATGTATGTGTTAAATGTATCAAATCAGTGGTCGGATTACGTGCCGGAGTACAGGCCACATTAAGTACTAGTTTAGATGCCAGACAAGAAGCCACAGTACAGGGCGTATTGAAAGCCAAGAACATCGGATCGGATTTTGGAATATGTTCGGACTCGAATGAAACTGAAAGACAAGCTACTAGAGAACAAGCTGATCGTGCCATGAAATATGCAAAAGATGTAATTCGTGAGGGTGAGGGTGAGGGGGCTGATGGTGAGGCTCTAAAGGCTCCTCTATCACCCATAACAAAATCAACCTCACATATAAGTGGAAATCGGGAGATATTCAATTTCTTTATTGTAAAGTTACTAATGGCTCATGAGTGACTCCATGAATGCAGAGACCTCTTTTTCTTCGACTTTGACATGTCCTTACAGCAGAAGATCCATGACAATGAGGACATTCAACGGGTATATTTTGAATAGCTGGTGGTAATTTTTCAATCACATTCATCATTATGTTCGGATATATAATTCAATAGGTTTGAAAATTCTTTAATCACATCAGGATGATTTGCTTGAATAAAAAGACGACTACGACCAGCTTCAGGCAAATCCCAACCTTGTTTCAGAAGGATTGACATTGCTGAATGACAGTTTTCTACTGTAGAACTAAGTTCGAACACATCTCGATGTGCTTTGGTCCATTGTGGATTCGGATCATAAATATAGACGTCTTGGATGAGAGATATTGTCAGATGTTACGAGACAAACAAAAACAACAACACCCTTATCACCAAACTGTTGAGCAAACTGAAAAGGATCTCCATCTGTTGCTTCTCCATCAGAAAGTAGAAATAGGACTTTACGAGAGTGAATGCTGGAATGAAACATATCAAGGGCTGCTCTTAATGCCTCACACAAAGGAGTATTTCCATAAGTGTATGGTTCAATAGAATCGACAAGAAACGAGAGCTCCGCGGCTGACATGGATTTTTGTGTTGGAGATAAATTAGACAATGGTGATATACCAGCAACTTCTTGTAGTAAATTGATAGTGGACTCTAAAGATTTGCTAATTGGTCTTGACATCTCTCTCAATCGAGGTAGAGTACGTTCACGAATTACATCTTTTGCATATTTCATGGCTCGATCAGCTTGTTCTCTAGTAGCTTGTCTTTCAGTTTCATTCGAGTCCGAACATATTCCAAAACCCGATCCGATGTTCTTGGCTTTCAATACGCCCTGTACTGCGGCTTCTTGTCTGGCATCTAAACTAGTACTTAATGTGGCCTGTACTCCGGCACCTAATCCGACCACTGATTTCAACGTCCATATGCCCACTGATAGAAGCACCCATTCGCCCACTGATTTGGCCTCCGATAGCGGTGGCGGTTTGGTCACCGACTCGACCCAGGATCTGACTCGCGAGCTAGCCTGCAACCCAGCGTCTATCGGACGAGGTTTTTCTTTGCATGCAGACGGTAGCTGTTCGATAAGTTCTTTTAACTTAGACAAATCTTCAGAATAAAAATTGTAAAGAAATAGTGCTTCTTTCTTTGTTAAATGTTGTCTGACGTATTCACCAGCACGTGGTGCTCCATTGTCTGCCAATAACTGAATCAAAGATTCATAACCATCGACGTTAGTTGACTCATTTAACGTTTTGACATACTCCAGTAAAGACAGTAGGTCGCATGTATTTACATCCGGTAGACCAAATGTCAATGTGAATTTTTCTTGATTCTCGTAATAGTTGACTTCACGTTTGGCTATGTTGATGATCGTACTGAATATAGATTCAGCACGAGTGGTTTTTTGATCTGTCAGAGTAACATTTAGTTGGAGGCTCTTCTTCATTGAGCCTGAAACATCCACGAGTACACCCGTAAGCATCTTAGTTTAAAATATATCCGCAATTAATACATTTAACACATACATAGAAAGATCAAAGAACGAGCGAAAGAGCTGAAAGTACTGCTCTAAAAGAACAGATAATAATTCTACATATCTTTTAGAGCAGTACTTTCAGCTCTTTCGCTCGTTCCACAGCATCTGATTCGACATCAGAACAAATTCAAATAACTTCTGTACGAACAGCTACATCTTCGGTCGCCAAGAATTCTATCCCTCAATATTCTGATCATAAAACTCAATATACTCCCCAATCACC